CTCAGAGAGCGAACTAAGGGACTTTTCGAGGCTGGAGATGGATTCTCAATTCTTTCTAGATCTTCATCTATAGCTCTCCTCAGGTTGTGGAACTGACTATCTTGGGCAAGAGCAGTTCCCCCAATTCCTGCTCCGGCTGCTCCCAGTAGGGATGCTATAGTCACAAGAGCTCCCACTGCTCAGACTGTCCTCTGAGGAGACTGGGCAGATTCTATTTTGGTCAGAAAATCATTTTGTGGGTGGTAGATGACCCGAGGGTAGAGCCTTACCAGGAGACACCAATCCTCGGTACTGGTTAACACAGTGCCCGATATACACGAGGTGACCCCAGTTTTGCTGCATACCCACCAAGTGTCGTTGGGGGCAGGGTAGTACAGGGAGGAGTTGCTGGAAAGGGTTTGGCAACTTGAAAGGGTGCTAGCGAGAGAAACGTTGGCGGCAAGACATGTCCCGCGGCCCTGGACAGACTGCAGGGTGATGCCTGTAGAGGTCGCCCTTTCCCATCTGCACCTTTGTTGTTTTTCCCCAGCTAAGGGGACTGTGGAGTTGTAAAACAGGGCATTAGCATCATAGTATGGGGGCTGGGCCTGGAAGCAGAGCCAGCAGGAGTTAGTGAGGTCTGGGGAGGTAGAGTTTAGGACTTTGTAAGTACTAGTCATTAACCGCCACAGGGGGTCTGCTGGCGGAGCTGAACTGAAAGTAGGTGAAGATTGAGGGGGATTTGAAGGTGCCCCGGGAGTGTAAGAACTAGGTGGAGTAGGTTTCTTGGGTGCGAGTACAGGATTAGGTCCTATGGCTCGGTCAATGAGGAGTTCATGGCTAACCTTGACATAAAAGATCCCTCCGGGGTAGGGCAACGCATTTTGTTGAATTCTCCAGATGAGGCATGACCTCCACCTGCGGTCTAGTTTTCCTGTTTCAGTCAACGACAGCTGGATTTTACAAGGTGTACATGGCCTCCTACTTGGCATATTCGGAACAGTGAGGACAGCTCACAGTAGGTCCGTCTTAACAGGAGACGTCCACTTGCGAGGTCCGTCATTGTTAGAAAAACAACTCCAGGAGTTACAATAATAATAGGAGGCCACCCTACATGTCTTATAATTTTGTAAATATCCTGGGCACATAAAGAACCCGTAATTACCATGCTGCAGCCTAGGATCTAAGATCAGCCGTGGGATAGGTGCCTCGATAGAGGGCCACCAAGTCCAGGGTGGGTGACTGCCTGTAGTGCTGTTGATGAGCTCCCCAGTTTCATCCAGAATGCTCCATGTTACCTGGATCGGAGTCTGTGCCTCATTTCCCAGAACCGATGTCCAGTAGACCAGTGTCCATATTAGTGTCCCGGCGACGGACACGTAGCTTGAGGGGGTGCAGGCTTAAGATGAGATGCATGAATCCACGCGGCAACGCCTTGTGGGGGTCTCCTTGTGGGGGTCACAAGGAGAACCTGGTAGGGGCCCTTCCAGCGAGGCTCGAGCGTTCAGTGCTGATGTCGCCGGACGTAGACAAAGTCACCGACCTGGAACTGATGAGGGGACCCGTCCCCTATGGGCTGATAGAGGTCAGTGGTTGTTTACACAGGCAATGTTGGACTCCAACGAGGGCCTGTAGTCGGGCAGATAAGGCAGTATTGGGAATAAACATCAGAGGAGGACAAGTCTCGAATGGGAGGTGGGGTCCCAAAGAGAATTTCAAAAGGGGTCAGGTTAGTTTGAGCAGAAGGAGTGTTACGAGCCCGGAAGAGAGCATATGGCAGGAGCATGACCCAGTCTTTATGGCCAGTCTCTAGGACCAATTTAGTTAAGGTCTCCTT